ATTTCATTCTCGTTTTTTTTTTTTTTTTTTCATTATTATTATTTATTTTTTGTATTTAATTTTTATTTTAAATATGATAAAGAATTTGTGTGTAACGTTGAGGCAAATATTCTTTAGTTTATTCTTCTCTATAATATATATTTTTTTCAGAGTTTTTAGATTTGTTTTTTTTTTTTTGTCCATCTTCGACCGAACGACTGAACATGTCGAGAAGGGGTGCCGAACGTTTGGGCGTTCGACCCGTTCTGAATACCGGCAACCCTTATATATATATATATATTTCGTATGTGTTTTGTTGTCTTGAGATGGGGTGTGAACTGACAATCTGTGGCGTTTTCCATCTGGTGTGTGTGAGTGATAGTCTGCTTTCATTTTCGTCACAGGTACCTTGAGGGCAGTGATTAGTGTCCACCTCAAGGTATTAGTTATCACGCAGTCGATGATGCTTAACCACAGTTGGGGTTAAGGTGAATTATCATTTAGAGTGTAATGAGTTAGGGGACTCTGCAGACTGTTAAGGGTTCAGCCTCTTGATATTAAGTAAGTGAAATCCGACGAAATAATTTATCACAGCCCCTCGGTTTGATGTCGTATTCTCCCTCTTTGCGTACAGTCAAACGAAGCTGTTTGGTAAACTGTATATCATCAATATTTATATATATGTTATATATATATATATATAATTATTATAATTATATAATATATATATAATTATTATAATTATATAATATATATATTACAGGGCAACTATGTTTGACTATATATAGTTAAACAAAGTTGCCTGGTAAACCGTAAGTCAGGAGGGAGAAGAGGACAACAAACAAGGGGCTATATATGTATATATACATATATATAGGGTCACCAGCCCATACGTACGGAGGTCCCCGGGCCGACCTCCGTACGTATGGGCGTTCGGGTCTCGTTCGGGGTCCGAATCCAAAGGCGTCCGGCCCCCGCCAAAAAACATTTGGGGGCCTAAAAATAAGTTTTTTTTTTGAATTGTTTTTTGTCAGTTCTCTATGATGTGAGGTACATGCCTATGAATTTTGAAGTCGTTCGGCTGAGCTAAACAAAAATTAAAAATCGTCAAAGATGGTGGTGTAAAAACGTGCTCGCCCACTCACTATTTTGTTTTTTTCTGCTTTTTACTTTTTGTTTTCACTTTATTACATGGCTTAACCAACTTATAATTTTTTGAATTTTTTTGGATGAGTTTTGTATTATGTGAGGTACACATCTGTAAATTTCAGGGCATTAGGCTCTGTGAAAAACAAATGAAAATCGCCAAAGATGGCGGTGTCTAAAACGTTATCGCTCACTCACTAATTTTAATTCTCTTTTTATTTTTTTATTTTTTATTATACTAATTTATTAGTTTTAAATTCTGTATCTAATTATTATTTCAAATTTGGTAAGGAATTTTAATGTAATGCTCGGGCAAATGTTGATTATTTTATTTTTCTTCATAACCTGTATTTTATTTATTTATTTATTTTTTGTCCGTGTTCAGCTCAAACGGCCTAACGGATCCCTAAGGGGTCCCGTACGTTCGGCCGTTTGGGTTCGGGCGTTCGGCCAGTCCCGAACGCCGGTTACCCTGTATATATATATATATATATATATCGTCAAATAGAACTGCCCGGTAAACCGTAGGCAGAGAGGGAGAAGAGGACAACAAACGAGGGGCTGTGACAAACTGTTTCGTCGGAGTTTCACCGACTCATCAGGAGGCTGAACCCTATATATATATATATATATATCGTCAACTATAGCTGCTCGGTAAATAGTATATATGTATAGTTATATGTATATATAAGGTTGTCGACGTTTGGGTTCAACCGAACTCCCGAACCTGAATGCCCGAACATTCGGGACCCCCTCTTGACGCATTTGACCGTTCGGCCAAACGTGGATAAAAAAAAAATAATAATAATACGAAAGCAAAATATGTTATGCAGAAGAATAAACTAAGTAATATTTGCCTCAACGTTACATCAAAATTCTTTACCAAATATGAAATAAAAATAAAATACAAAAAATAAATAATAATATTAAAACTTAGAAAAAATAAAACGAGAATGAAATTATTGAGTGGGCGAGTACGTTTTTGACACTGCCATCTTTGGTGATTTTTTTTTTTTTTTTTGGCTTTGACAAATGCCATGAAATTTTATTTATGTGTAACTTACATAATAGAGAACTTGCAGATAAAGTTTGAAAAAATAATAATTTTTTCATGCCTCGAAATAAAGGAAAAACAAAAAGTGAAAAGATAAAAAAAAACGAATTAGTGAGTGGGCAAGCAAGTTTTGACACCACCATCTTTGCTGATTTTTCATTCTTGTTTGGCTTAACAGAATGCCTTCAAAATTAAGAGGAAGATACCTTACATTACAAAGAACCCACAAAACAAAATTCAGAAAAACATAACAATATTTAGCTGCCAAAACAATTGTTTGCGAGGTCCGATCGCGCATGGTACTCACGAATGAATGAGTTAAGTCCTTTTTGCAAAATATGGACGTCGGCGTTCTATTCTGGATCACCAACCGTGCATGTTTAAGGGACCCTGAGTACCGAGAATACTGGGAAAACAAACAACTCTCCTGATGATCGAACTTAGGGCTCTCGGCCTATCCCTGCCAAACTAAGAACGATCGGTTGTATGCCAGGGACTTCTAGAGGGTCATCGGATGGAATTCCCGAATCCCGGATTACCTTGACACCCGGAACCACCAGTACTACATAACACCAGGATTCGTCGCCGTTGAAACGAACTTCCCTCCATTCTATCTCCTTCCCCCTTATCACAATCTAACGGTCGTTCCTTGGGAGTCGATAGCCCCCTATTGGCCCCGAAGGCCGTGCTCTGAGTGCCAGCAGTACTACACCTATCGAGCCGCGGGATTTGTCAGACGAACCCGTTCCGAAGCGGAGCACCGAGAACACAGTCTCCGGCTGAGGCCGTCCACGTCAGATTATGAGATCTGGGAAGCCAGTCGACGACAAGTGTTTATACAGAGAGACACCCACGGTGTTTCCTCCGTACAACGAGTACGAATCCGCCCCAGGCGACGAGGCCGGCGAAACTAGCCACCCGGTTTTGAGAAGTGGAACCGGAAACCTGGTTCCTCGCTGAATCAATTCCACTTCTGTCCTTCAGACTCGACACCGGAGATCCCAGTTCCGACCTAGGACTCCACCCCACTTTCCAAAAATCCTCGGCACAACCCTACTACCCACTTCCAAGGCCCCTCCCACTCCGAAACAGGAAGTCGCGCTGGGCGTGAGGTTGGGCGTCACAGTGCCAATAGACCGGGCCCCCAACCCGATTCTTCGCCAAAAGAAGAATGGCTCCTGTCTGTCAATTCCGGAGTGTTGTATATGTTTTGTGTGAGGGATTGTAGGTTTCCCCAGGTTGCTAGTTGAACTATTATCGGAAAGTTTGTGTTGGATATTGGATATAGGTCCCTGATGGACTGTGAGCCAAGCTGAGTAATGTGTGTGGTGTATGGGAGAGTGGTGGCCATATACACTGCTGTTACTCCATGGGGGGGCGGGGGAGGTAGATGGGAGGTGCACCTACTGGCAAAATGCTCGGTCTTTGTGTCAGCTGCCCCTCCAACTGGCTTCCCCACCCTACTCCCTGACCACAGCCTACCCTGGCGGGGGGCAAACATGTCTCCGGTAGGTATGCTTGGAGGGGTCCCCTGTATAGGCGTAGGAGTAGTGGTAGGTAGGTAGAGAGTAATAGTATACTCACACTAGGCGCCCAAAATCACAAAATCACAAAATCACAAAATCACAAAATCACAAAATCACAAAACGAGCTGCCAGATCGAGTCTTGCGAGTACAAGGACTCAATCTGGCCACTCATCTTGCGATCTTGCGATTTTGAGGGCCTACCCCGGGTAGTGTGTGAGTATGCCCTAATGCTCTCAGTATTCCGGTAGAATTGTGAGGTTCCACTCATGCCAGTTCGTTGCGGAGTGGCGCGTCATCCGCCGAATCTTAGGGACTCGCTGCACGGCACACGAAACGGAAAACGAAAAGAGTGCATCTGTGAGCAGAAACTGGAACTATTCCTCCATTTACTAAAATAGTAGCCAGTGTATTGTGCGATTTTCTGCATGCCGATGCACTCGTCTCCTTTTCGTTTCTGCCATCGGGACGCGCGGGCTAAAAGGGGAAGGGGGCGCTGGGGTGGTGAGCGGGAAAGGGAAGGCAAAAAGGCACCTCCCTGGGCCACACGAACCAAGGAGATCATTCGTGTGATTGATTTGATTGATTGCAGGCGAAGGGGTCGTCGACCGGCCATCAGCAATCCATGCAAATTTTCATTTTCATTTTCATTCGTGTTATTGTATGCCCCTTCTCCCGCCAGCGTCGACCGGCCATCAACAAACAAACAAATTGTATGCCCCTTCTCCCGCCAGCGACGCTTTCGCCGGTCCGGACCGCGGACCATCCCTGCCGCCGTTCCTGACCGGCGCCGAGTTGTCCGCTCGGGCGCCAGGACCGAAAAAAGAGCGAAGGCGGGGGAGGAGATGGGCGGGTTCTCGGCGGGGGGTTGAGCGCGCGACGCGTGCCACTGACTGACTGTGTGTTGTGGAAACAAGGGTGCTTGCGTCCATCCATAGATAGCCCGCCCAGAGATTCGGCGGGAACTTCTATGTCGATGCGCGCCTTTGGTCGGAAACGGGGAGCGGGGCGTCGAGCGGGCGCCACGCGGAGTTTTTCGTGGTGACCTGTGCGGTGTTCGAGTTCTTGTTTTGTTGACGTGGCAGGTTTTGTCCATTCCGTTTTCGCGCGGTGTTTTCGCCATTTGGCGGGAAAGATGGACTTGGAGCGGATGTCGAGTTCGTTTCGAATGGAGGCGGGAAACCTGTACGGCAAGATCGATGCCGCCATTTACGATTTCGTCTTCGGTTTGTTCCGCAAGTTTGATGTGGAGTTGTCTCCCTCTCCCATCACCAAGGGCCTTCCATGCGTGGACAGTCCCACTCCGGTGATCCTTGGCGTCTCTACATATCTGGCCATCGTGATCTTTGGTTCGTGCATGCTCAAGTGGAAAGGGACGGGCAAGCCACGGGCGTCGGATCCGCGGCCGCTTCGTTTTCTGGTCGTGCTGCACAATCTCTTCCTCTTCTTTCTCAGTCTTTACATGTGCCTCGGAATCGTCTATGAAGCAATCAAGAACAAGTAAGTACATCTCTTCTTCCAACGACTATCCTTCCTCAATGCGCCTATTCTCTCCCTCCCTCCCTCCCTCTCTCTCTCTCTCTGTCTTTCTCCCTCTCTGTCTCTGTCTCTGTCTCTGTCTCTCTGTCTCTCTGTCTCTCTGTCTCTCTCTCTCTCACTCTCTCGGTCTCTCTCTCTCTCTCTCACTCTCTGTCTCTCTCTCTCTGTCTCTCTCTGTCTCTCACTCTCACTCTCTCTCTCTCTCTCTCTCTCACTCTCTGTCTCTCTCTCTCTGTCTCTCTCTGTCTCTCACTCTTACTCTCTCTCTCTCTCTCTCTCTCTCTCTTATGATTTGTCTCTTTTTCCACACAGTCCGCACACATAGTCACAGAACAAACAGAACAGAGTCCTTAGTCGTCTTGTGGTGATCCGCTCCTTTGCGATAGGGAGCTGTGAAACGGGAGGTGGCGAACCGAACTGGTGCGTTGGCAAAGGCATTAAACTCTGGCTGGTCGGCATTATCTGAAAGCACTGTCTTCTTTCCCCGAACATAACGCTCTATCATCATCACTGTATGCAAACGCTGTTCCTGGCCAAATACAGTGCAATTACAGTCATGGTGCTGGGCTTCGTGTTCGAGGGAAGAAAGTGGTCCTCTGCGGTACTGCTGATCAGCACATGTCTACTGGTTGATGCAAGACCACAACGAATTAGAGGGGTCGAACGCTTGTGGCAAAAATTTATCGGGATCGCCGCATCCTTTTCGAATCTGGTGCTGCTGTTAGTTTTTTTTTTAAAGGTTTTTTTTTTTAAGGTGCTGCTATTACTTTTGCGGAAATGAATAGTCAACCAGACACATTCGCGATATATTTATGTACATTTGTATATGTAAAGACCATATACAATTTTTTTAAACCATTTATAATATAACTGGAACCAAATGTTTTCCCCTTTGACTTTTCGGACTTGAATTTTAAGGGCACTCGTTTTCGTCAGTAGGCGATCTGATATGGCGCAACTTCGCCTGTGTGTGCTGTCAGGCAAATTTTTGGATGTTGTTGTGCCCATTAGCCGCCAACGCTTCCTCTTTGTTCCGATTTAAACTGTCCGATAAGTGATTGATAGTTTTTTTTTTTTTTTTTAATTGATAGATTTCGACGGTCTGACAGGTGATAGATCTATTCAAACAGTGCTCTTCTCTCTCTCTCTCTGACAGGTGATGAGTTCGGCGAAACTCCGATGAAACAGTCTGTCAGAGTCCCTCGTTTGTTGTCCTCTTCTCTCTCTCTGCCGACGGTTCACCGGGCAGTTCTCCATATCGTCATGGAGAACTGCCCGGTAGACTGTAGGCACACACACACGCACGCACACACACACAGAGAGAGAGAGAGAGAGAGAGAGAGAGAGAGAGAGAGAGAGAGAGAGAGAGAGAGAGAGAGAGAGAGAGAGAGAGGACAACAAACGACGAGGGGCTGGGACATACTGTTCCGTCGGAGTTTCACCGACTCATAGGGAGGCTGAACCCTCTACAGTCTGCAGCGTCCCCTACCGTAGCCAACGTAAGTGTGTGCGTATGTTTATTTATAAATAGATTTAAACCACCAGTGTCTCCGTAGAATTTCCGCCCGACCATCTGGCCTAGCTCAGTTGGTCATACCCCTGAACTGCTGAAATACAGACCTGCGTTCGAATTCCATTGGAAGGAGTTGAGTGGACTATACTACAATTCTGAACGATCTAGGGCCGGTCAGTTGCGTTGATAACATCTCTCTCTCTCTCTCTCTCTCTTAATGCCGTCTCCCTCTCTCTCTCTCTCTCTCTCTCTCTCTCTCTCTTAATGCCGTTGTCTGAAGCTGGTCGGCGACGTTTCTCTGTCAAGGGTATTACTAACTCTGGGTGACGTCGTGAGTCCTTTCCGTCAGTCAAACGTATCCTGTGAAGACTGTCGAGGTTCAGCCTCCTGATGAGTCGCTGAAAGGCCGACGAAAGAGTCTGGCACAGTCATGCCGTGTCTCTGGAGTTGTGTCTAGCGAACATGACAACAAGGCGACCACTTCTATCCGTTTTTGACGAGTCGGACTCCACAGTCAAATGGGGTTGTGCCGTTTCTCTGTCTAGGGTATCGCTAACTCTGGGCGACGTGGTGAATCCTTATCCATCAGCCAAATGCATCCTGGGGCGGACTGTCGGGGCTCAACCTCCTGACGAGTCGGTGAAAAAGTCCGACCAAACAGTCTGGCACAGTCGTGCTTTTTTTATTGTGGCGTTGTGTACAGCGAACATGACAACAAAACACACACAGACACACACACACACTATAGCGAACATGACAAGACACCCTCACCTACACGCATCCACACCCACACCTACACGCACCCACACCGACCCACCCACCCATACCCACACCCACATCTTCGCCCCCTCATACTCAAGGTTGCTATCTTTTCCCGGTCCCAATTCACCCCTGCTGTTATGCGTCGCAATTCTCCCCTTTCTCTCTTTCTTTGCGCAGACGCAAGAGATGCCCCCATCCTTGTCTCCACCTGCTTGGCCTGCCCGTTCGCGGCGACGAGCAGAAGCCAGCTGTCAACCAGTCTTCGAGGCACGGGTGGAGTGGCGCTTGTGTGCTGCCACATGGACTGCCCGCCTCATCACCCGTCTCGTTTGCCGCGCAGATTGCGTTTCGCAGTTGTGCCTGTTTTGTCCTCCCCAAGTAGTAACGCGCTGGCGCTGCTCCTTTGGCAGCAGCGTCGCTCTTCCCTCCTCTCCCTCTCCCCCTCTCCCTCTCTCCCTCTCCCCCTCCCCTCGTCTCCCTCTCTACCCCTCTCCCCTTCCTTGTCTGATGTTGTCTGTCTCCATATGCCGCAATCACAGGCTGCCACATCAGCTCCGTTTTGCCCCTTCGCTCGTTCGTGTCCCCGGCGCAAAGGTTGCTGCCTGCTGTAGTACCGCCCGCCCGACCTTGGCGATTCTATTCAAGCGGATAGTGTCGTGATATTGGACAGTTAGTCCTCTCCACGTTCTGGAGTGTCGCTTGGCTGTCTTGTCTTGCCTACACATACTGTAAGTGCTTCATGGATGAGTTCAGCAGATAAAACGAAAGAGAAAAAGAAGAAAAAAGAAAAGAAAGAAAAGACATACAGACTGATAGGTATGGAGCCTGATTGTGGCGAATGCAGGACAAGCTTCGAGTCTAAGATGGACCTACTGCCGCTGATAGGGTTCAGCCTCCTGATGAGTCGGTGAAACTCCGACGAAACAGTTTGTCACAGCCCCTCGTTTGTTGTCCTCTTCTCTCTCTGCCTACGGTTTACCGGGCAGTTCTGTTTGTGACGATCTGCACTAACGCAACTGTCCTTGGGTATCCCTGTGAACATCCCCGTCATCCTCACCGTAGTTGTCCTATCTGCCGAGGGGGTGACAGATGAAGTGTAGAAGAAACAGATAAAAAAAGAAACCGAGTAAAAAGATAAAAAAAGAAGCCGAGGAAAGAAAAACACAAAAAAAGAAACCTGAGAAAAAAGAAAAAAGAAAAATATGTTCTGTGGGATGGTAATTGGATTATCTGTGGGATGTGTACTTGCTTCGTCTGTTTAATAGGCTTTCTTCTTCTGTGAGGTTTGGTTTCCTCCGCCTTTTCTTTAC